GATATTTGGTATTTTGATGATTTGTGTTACACTTTTCACTGGAAAATTTTCAAATTTGAAATTTTAAATTCTTAATGGTTACTACAGCCCATGGTACAAGGTAGGGCTATGATACCTTATGATTTTAATTTTTTCATTTTCTTGGCTTAATATGTCAACTATATTTGTTTATATATATGTTTTCTTTTCAATAACAAAAAAAATTGTTCAGAAAATATTCAAATTCGGGTGTTTTCAAAATGTTTATTTCGACGTATGCATCGACAATATCTACAGTTTTTGTAGCGAAATAAACCTTTAGAGATATATAGAACATGATTTTGAAAAGTAATGTTGACCTTTCATTCAGTTTTCGAGGTTTTCAATTATTTGTTCAAAATAAAAGCAACAAGTTGTTTGATTTTTTATTGTTTTGATACTAATTCTGACATTACAAGCCAAACAGGTAGACCTCTATACTTGCAATTTTTTCAAAGTTAGCCTACCTTCTCTTCATTGTACCATGCTACAGCCTGTGACTGAAAATTGCGTATGTAGGTCCATGTCTTGGTATAGCCCCCATATAACGATATATCTCTATATTTTATTATCAAAATGCGTACTCTGTTAAGAAAGTTTATCGCGCGCTTTTCTCATTTTGCGACGAAGCTCATTTTTGGCCCAACGTAAATAAGCAGAATTGCATATTTTTGAGTTGAGATAAGCCAGAAGCATTCCTAAGAAACGTCACAGATTGGCGCGGCTTATGGGCTGGCGGCATCATTGGACCGTACTTCTTCAAAGATGCTGCGAATTGTTATATAACTATTCCTTTTTGGTCTAAAAAGAAAGAGCTTGAATTGCATAACATGTGATTCCAAGAAGACTATGCCACATGTCATACAGCATGCGTAAAATGGATTTATTGAGAGGCACTTGATGGAATCGGCAGATATTATCCATTGTCACACTTGACTAACACTGATATTTTTCGCTCACAATTAGGTGATTCTTTCTTTTTCTATAAGGTAAATTATTGTCTGTGAAATTGTTGACCTTTTGTGGGAGAGGTACCAAATGGAGTGCAGCGATGCCCATCTGCGAACTCGATCAAAGCTTGATAATAATTTACGATGTACCAAGTTTGGACCAGATCGGATATGTCCTTCGAGAGATATAGTGCGAATCAGCCCTCCAGAGGCGGACACCCCTAGATTGAGTCCAAATGTTCTGAAACGGATTTGGTCTAAAAAGACCTAGGGTCTAAAACCGCTTTTTCGATGAAGCAGGTTTTGACCATATCAAATGATATGTCCCTTCTGAGCTGAGGGCATAATAATACATGTATCTGAATTTTGTGTGTTTTTTATTTCCTTTCAGAAATTATCGTACCTTTACCTCTGCCTTTCGAAATCCCAAATTGCTAATGATGGTTAAAGATAGACTTTCAAAATTTAATATTCCTAAATATCGTATAAATGTTGTTAAACCAAAAAAAAAAAAAAAAAAAAACAAGTAAGCAAAGGCTATAGTCGTGCAAAGCCGACCATGTGATACCCTGCAACACCCCAATATATATTGGAAAACCTCCTCAGGCCCAAACGCATTTTAGTCGATTATTCACACAAAAGTTCACACAAAAGTTGTAGTCCAATTTTTCCCGCTAACTATAATTCACAGATCATCCAAAATGCTACACTTCTACGCTGTCCTAATCCCTAACTTAATGCAAAATTCCGTGTCGATTGGTTTTTAAGTGTCGCCTGTAGAGCCTCTTTAAGATCAGGGAAGTTTTAATTTTTGGTCCATTTGATCCCCTAAAAATATATCTTGAAACTCAATAGACTTTAATTCTGACCCTAGTTCTATCCACATGCTAAATTTCTTGAGAATCGGATGATAATTTCGACTTGAATATAACAATCCAAAAACATAGTATTATAAGGAGAAATAATATTAACAAATGGAAAATTCAATATTGTAAGTCAAGTATGAAAAATCGCATGCGATAAAAAATTAGACAAAAATGTAAACAAAATATTCCCTTTTTTATTGACATATTTTCATGCGATTTTCTTATGTTTTATCCTTTTCTGGCAAGAAGAATCCGTTCGTAAGTTATAAGCGGTCTAACTAAAATCTAAAAAAACTAAAAATTATATATGAGATTGTAGATATTTTGCTATATATGCGATATTTTGAATATCAGCATCAATATAACAGAAGTGACATTTTAGTTTAGGTAGAATTAAAAATATTCGCGGTTTAGTGAAAACTGTTTTATTTTTTACATAAAAGTTATGGCCTATTTTACCCGCTAAATATTTTCCGATGGCCAAACAAAAAGATTGGCTTCTCACCGGCCCTAAACTTTAGCCCCGTCGATTGGTCTATAATTCCTCCTTGGGAGAAATAAAATGGGAACTGAGCAACATAATATTGGCGTTATGGTTATTATTTTATTTATTTATTAACAACTTTTATTTAGATAGTATTCGACCTTGAAACACTTGAGGTGCGATACATTTTGTTCTGCCACTTTTTGCACATTTCTCAAAAAAAAAAAAAACCAGTAAGGAAAGCTCAAAAGTCGGGCGGGGCCGACTTTATGATACCCTACACCACTATGCATATTAAGTAGAGCTCTCGTAAAAGGGTTTATACAGGGCATTTCAGAGCTCTATGAGATATTTGGTACAAAATCAAAATCTATCTAATTCTATCGTGCATTTTACGAACTATAACTATCTGTGAACCTGGTTTCTCCAAATTTGACGTATTAGCTTCTAGACTGAATTCGGTCTTATGTACGAAAATTCAGGTGATTTGGTGATCTGAACCGATTTCGATAAAATTTAAAACAGCTATTCATGTGCTTCATCTAATACCTGGTACCAAATATCACGGTTGTGGAGTGAATATTACGAATGTAAAGGTCTAAAACACTAAATCAGATGAAACATATATATGGTTGCTATATCTAAATCTGAACCGATTTTCACTAAATTTGATATACTTGCTTCTAGGCTGAATTTGGTCCGATGTACTAAAATTCAGTCCATTTGGACTTATATCGGCCATTTGGTGCACAATTAACCCGAAATCGGATGAAGATATATATGGGAGCTATATCCAAATCTGAACCGATTTCGATAAAATTACAAACAGCTATTTCTGGGCTGTATCTTATATCTGGTACCAAATATCATTCTTGTGGAGTGCATATTACGAATGTGAGAGGCTTAAACACCAAATCGGATAAAACATGTATATGGGAGCTATAGCTGTCTCTGAACCGATTTTCTCCAAATTTGTTGTATTTGCTTTAAGGCTAATCTCGGTCACATATGCCAAAATTCGGGCCATTTGGGCTGATATTGGCCATTTGGTGGTCAATTAACCCGAAATCGGATGAATATATATATGGGAGCTATATCCAAATCTGAACCGATTTCGATAAAATTTAAAACAGCTATTTCTGTGCTCCATCTAATACCTGGTACCAAATATCACGGTTGTGGAGTGCATAGTAGGAATGTGAGGGACTTCAAGATCAAATCGGATGAAAGATATATATGGGAGCTATAGCTATATCTGAACCGATTTTCTCCAAATTTGATATACTTGCTTCTAGGCCGAACTCGGTTGGGTGTGCCAAAATTCAGGTAATTTGGACTGATAGTGGACATTTGGTGCACATTTAACCCGAAATCGGATGAAGATATATATGGGAGCTATAGCTGTTTCTGAACCGATTTTCTCCAAATTTGTTGTATTTGCTTTAAGGCTAATCTCGGTCACATGTGCCAAAATTCGGGCCATTTGGGCTGATATTGGTCATTTGGTGGTCAATTAACCCGAAATCGGATGAAGATATATATGGGAGCTATATCCAAATCTGAACCGATTTCAATAAAATTTAAAACAGCTATTTCTGTGCTCCATCTAATACCTGGTACCAAATATCACGGTTGTGGAGTGCATAGTAGGAATGTGAGGAACTTAAAGATCAAATCGGATGAAAGATATATGGGAGCTATAGCTATATCTGAACCGATTTTCTCCAAATTTGATATACTTGCTTCTAGGCCGAACTCGGTTGGGTGTGCCAAAATTCAGGTAATTTGGACTGATAGTGGATATTTGGTGCACATTTAACCCGAAATCGGATGAAGATATATATGGGAGCTATATCTAAATTTGATCCGATTCTCACCAATTTCAATAGGGTTCGTCCTTGGGCCAAAAAAATATTGTTTGGAAAATTTCATCTCAATCGGATAATAATTGCGACCTGCATTTTGTTCACAAGAATACATGGACAGACGGACGGACGGACGGACGGACGGACGGACGGACGGACGGACAGACGGACGGACATGCATAAATCGACTCAGAAAGTGATTCTATGAAGGTTCTCAAAAGTAACTATGGGTCTATCTCGTTTCCTTCTCCATGTTACAAACAAATGCACAAAGACATAATACCCTTACCACTATGTGGTGTAGGGTATAAAAAAAATGATAATAATAATAATAATTGCAATTTTCAGGGAAATAATTTATTATTTTAATACTGTTATTTGTTATAGTGGGATCATAAAAGTCTCAGCATTTTGTTTCCATTTTGTTTTGGTTTTTTTAATCACCAAAATAAATAACACTTCCTGGTTATATTGTTATTTTAATAAGAAGAGCTAATTTATTTCATTTATTTGCCATAATTTTTATTTATATCACCGTTGGTTCCTATTTCGCATTTTCGGTTAATTGAATTCACTGCTCTTTTTGGAATCAGCATCATCACATCATTGTTTTTAATTTCTGTTTATGGTAGAGAATGTGCTTATTTTACTTTTCATATTTTTCACACTTTAATGTTTGGTGGGAGTAATTTATCGATTTTTTTGCTGTTGTGTTTATGTTTTATGGTTCACGGTTTTAATTTAATTTATATTCAGTTTTTATCTTCCATTTATGGTCATATTTTTGGTTTATTTGAAAACACTTTTGAATGCTTACTGGTAATGATATTTGCCATCATGTTCCACAATGGCCTCATTCGAAATCACTTCGACATCCTTGGCAGTTGCGATACCGATCAACACCAAACCGACCACAGCTAAGAGGAGTTTCATTTTTGCAATAATAAAGAGGATACGAATAAAAAACCCGAGATAACAAAATAATATTTAAATTAATCGAATCAAGTCAAATGCACGAATGATACGATTTTGGCCAGCCAAACAAGCTTTTATACTAAAATGTTATTAACTAAAAACTACAAGAAAATACAAAAACAATGACCAATTAAAAATTCCTGAACCGTAAACAGAAAATTTCAATTTTTATAGAATAAAAAAAGATATCGTCACTTTTCTGAACTTGTTTTCTGTAGGGGTGAAGCGTTTTTACGTAGTCGTTTTTTTCAAGTATTGGTATTCTTCTTCATATTGATACAGCATCCAAGATGCTTTCTTCTAGTTTCTCCCTCCCTCTCGCCCAGCTCCACAAATGGAGTGTGAATTTCAACACAAAACCCAACAATAAAAGATGAAAATCAATATTTAATAAACATTAAATATAGGCCATATCATATCAAATGACCGGTTGGTTGGTAAAACTAAGTAGCAAATTTTAGAATGTCAAAACGCCACTAAACGAATTCAAAACAATAAATCACAAAAAAAGAAAAAGAATTTTTAAAAAGAGATTTTTTCAAATTTGTGAACGAAATCGTTCGCATTCTAAAGAAATCGATTGAGCGATTCTTTTGTCAAATTCCTGAGAAAAGTATTGGATTCCAGATCTCAAACGTGGGGCAATGACTGCGTCAATGTTTTATTAAGTTTTTATTCAAATGTTTGATCACGAGGCAGTGAGCTTCCCACACACATGCCCTATGTTGTTTGAATCATGACAATATTTTTATACCCTACAACACTATGTGTTGGGGGTATTATGAGTTTGATTGGGCCAACAATTATGTAGCACCTCGAAATATTGGTTTCCCACATAGGAAAGTATATATGGATCTTCATATCTCGCCAAGCTGAGTCGATCTAGCGATGTATGTCCGTCCGTCCATGTTAATTTGTAATCACGCTACATGTCGCAATTATGGTCAAAATAGAACCCTATTGTTTTTGGAGATGATAACATAATTTAGCATTGGGCTAGAGTTCAGGGTTGGTCAGAAGCCCACCATTTTGTTTGGTCATCGGACAATATTTAGCGGGTAAAAAAGACCATAACTTTTATGTAAAAATAAGGAAATTTCCACTAAACCGCGAATATTTTTAATACTGTCGAAATCACAAATGCACGAAAATGTCACTTCTGACCGTTACATTGATGCTCATATCCAAGATATCGCATATAAAGCAAAATATGTACCATCTCCTACATAATGAAGGGGATTTTAGTTAGACCGCTTATAACTCAAGAACGGCTGGACGGATTCTGACCATTATCACAAATTTGGAATTGCTTCTTGTCAGAAAAGGATAAAACATAAGAAAATGGCATAAAAAAGGGTAATATTTTTGTAATTTTTATCGCTGCGGTTTTTATACCCTCCACTATACTATGGAGGGCATATTAAATTAGTAACTCCTCGAAATACTCATATCAGACCCAACAAAGTATATATATATTCTTGATCAGCGTAAAATTCTAAGTCGATTTAGCGATGTCCATCTGTCTGTCCTTCTGTTGTAATCACCCTATCTTTCCAACGAATTAAGATAGAAGGCTAAAATTGTGTACACATGTTTATTTTTCCACTAGGCAGGTTAATTTCGTAAATGGGCCAAGACGTGGACCTACGTCTTCGTACAGCCCCCATATAACGTTACCTCCCGATTTTCAGTATTTTAATGTTTCAAATTTGGTAGTTGAAGTTTTTAATGGATACTACAGCCTATGAGAGAAAATTGTCTGTGCAGGTTCACGTCTTCACCTAGCCCTCATATAACGGTACTTTCCGATATTCGGTATTTTGTTGATATTAGCGGCATTATTCACCGGAATTGTCAGTACCTCCCTATGTTCGGTATTTTGACGAGATTGAGGTGTCGTATTTGAACTTCGTAATGGATGCTACAGCCTATGACAGAAAATTGTCTATGCTGGTCCAGGTCTTCGCACAGCTCCGATATAACGGTACGGTATTTTGATGACTTTAGGTAAATTATTCACCGTATATGTCAAGTTATCGAATTGGAATATGGGAATGACTTATGACAAACAATGCCTATGTAGGTCCACGTCTTATAGTCCCCAATAAAACGACTTTATTCGGTATTTATACCCTACAACACTATGTATTGGGGGTATTATAAGTTTGATTGGGCCAGAATTTATGTAACACCTCGAAATATTGGTTTCCCATATAGGAAAGTATATATGGATCTTCCTAGCTCGCCGAGCTGAGTCGATCTAGCTATATATGTCCGTCCGTCCATATGTCCGTCTGTCAATGTTAATTTGTAATCACGCTACAGGTCGCAATTATGGCCCGATCCTAACGAAATTTTGCACGAAGGTGGGGATAGGGTCAGAATAGAACCCTATTTCTTTTGGAGATGATCGCCAGATGTTTAGGGGTTGAAATGGACCAAATACTGAAAAAATGTCGGATTTTGCAGTAGCTATACAGGTCGCAATTATAGACCAATCGACGGAATTTCGCATGTAGCTAGAGTTTAGGGCGGGGAAGAAGCCTACCAATTTGGGTGGTCATCGGATAATATTTAGCGGGTAAAATAGACCATATTTTTTGTGTTGAAAAAATTTAAAAATTTTCATTAAACCGCGAATATTTTGAATCCCGGTGAAATCACGCAACCATGACAAGGTTACTTCTGATCTTTACACTGATGTTAACATCCAAAAAATCGGATATATAGCAAAATATGTGCGATATATATGTCTATCAAAGAAGATATGCTTGAAAAATCTCTTATATGTCGAGAACGGCTGAACTGATTTCGACAGTTCTCATTAATTCAGAATGGCCTCTTGGCAGGAAAGAAAAAACGTCTAAAAAAATCGCATAAAAATATCTCTCTAAAGAAGAAAATATTTATTTTGTAAAATTTTCTCATATTTTTGACATATTTTCATTTTGAATTAAACATTTGGTAATATTTCTACAGCTAACAAAACTAAGTAGTTAGGATATCAGGATATCATATACAGATCGCATTTATGGCCCGATCCTTACGAAATTTTGCATGGGGATAAGATGAGGGTCAGAATATAAGCCTACTCTTTTTGGAGATGATCGCCATATATTTAGGGGTTGAAATGGACCAAAAAACTGCAAAATTGTCATCATGTCATAATTATCGATCCTCACGCACATTTGAATGGGGGTTACCGGACATTGCAAAAGCCAAGCAGTTTTGGATGGCCATCCAAAAATATTCAATGTGTGAAATAGTTTGCCAACTCTTGTAGACAAAATACGAAAATGTCCATTCCAGTGACTTTTTGGAGAATTCACAAATACAGGAAAGACGCACTTCTGACTATTTCGTTAACGCTGATTTCGTTCAAGAATATAGTCAAATGTCTGTATCTCATATAGATGCGTTTCAGTCAAAAACCAATAATAAATGTTAATCTTTTGCCACTTCTGAGAGATTATAGGTCTTTGGGAAATATTGGTTCCAGATCTAGGAAGACCATTTACGTGCATAATCTGCCAATAAATTGGAAATGAGCAAATTAGTTTAAGTTGCTATTATTCGAAAATTAGAGAACGGAACCTGATGGTTTTCTTTTATTATTTGTCACAATATCTTTGGAATTCTTTCGAGTATCTCGCCTATATAAACTGTATCGTTTATTATAGTATTGTATGGTATTCAACGGTCGGCCCCGCTCGACTGTAGCCTTTGCTTACTTTTTTTTTTTTAAATTTAAATAGAATTTTTTAAGGATTTTATTTTTTGAAAATTTCCAAATTCATTCCAAATGGTGGCCCGGCCGGACTTACTGTTTTTTAACTTGTTTCATATTTGACTTACAATATTGAATTTTATGTTTGGTAATATTTTTTCATTTTATAACACATTGCTTTTGGATTATTATATTCAAGTCGAAATTATAATCCGTTCAGAAAGGTCAGAATTGAAGCCTATTGTTTTTCAAGATATATTTTTAGGGGATCAAAAATTAAAACTTTTCTGATCTTAAAGAGGCTTTACGGGTAACAATTAAAAACCAATCGACACGGCGACCAATCGATTTTGCCTTATGTTAGGGTTTAGGACAGCGCAGAAGTGTATCAGCACAACATAAACTGTAAATATAAGGAAAATAGCCCCGGTTAAAAAACAAAGGCTACGCATGTGCAGGACTGTGTAGCATTATTTCAAATAATCGACTAAAATGAGTTTGGACCTAAGGAAGTTTTCCAATATATTATGGTGTTGTAGGGTATCACATTGTCGGCCCCGCGCGTCTTTAGCCTTTGCTTACTTGTCTTAAATATGTATACCTTACACCACTATGGACTAAATAGAATTGTTTTGGCAAAGAATTTTCAAAATTCTCGAAATTTATCCGTCTTTTCAGACATGACCGTTTTCAAACGTATTGGTGAAATTCGATTGTTAATATGTTCAGACTAAGGTATATCAGGTAAACATACTTGAACATATGGGCCGGGCGAGCTCCCGAGGAAAATATTTTTGTTATTAAAGATAAATAAGAAAAGTTTAGATTCTGGGCCAGGCTGATCCTCAACCATTAGAAAATGAAAATATTTCAATTTTTTAAGACATTTTTCGATTACTATCAGTCTTAAATGTTAGTACGATAAGAACACATCTTTGTCAGTTTACTTAAATATATTTTGAGTTGTGTTCTGATTAAGGGGGATAATCAGGAGGGGACTCGGAAGAAATTGGCTCCATTCTCCATTTCGTATCTCATTTAAGTCTGATATAGATATTACAACGTGCCAGATTTGGACTATATCGACTACATACTTTACTGAATATTATATAAGTGACAATTTTTTAAAAATGTTGAAAAGCGCAAGAGTTGCCATATATAGGGGACCAAAGTATCACTCTTCATCTAATAGTGATTGCGATATGCAAAGTTTAAAGAAAATCTAACATTTATTTCCAATTTTATACGAATAATAAATAAAAGCTTTAACTTTGTGTGGGGAAGGTAACAAGAGGGAGTGGGATGAAAAATTCCATA